CTTGAGAAGTGTTTTCTGTCCTACCCCAACTTGCTTTATGGCCCAAGAGATTGATTTCTGTTGACTGTTTCAACTGGGCCCCCTTTCCCTTCGGCCAGTTGGATTCAGCTGATGAGAGGCACTAGCAAAAATTAGAAGCCGGAAGAGAGAGGTTAGGTAGTTCTTTTCCCCAGATTCCTTCTATACCGTGCTGTATGTTAGCATGGATATTTTCTTCCAAAAAACTACAATTTAGGGTCGGGTCCTACAGCTGTTTCCTTGAGCTCTATTAACTGCTCCCTCCTCTTACTTCATTTGGACTAGTTAGTGGTTGTTAATAGCTTATTGCTGTAGCTAGCTGTGGGGTGCTTCATTATCTCTTTAGGATTTCTCTTAACCCTGTTTATACCTTTGTTAATTAACTCAGCCACTCAATTTTGTTCAGTTACTCCATTTAAATGTGTCATCTGTTTCTTGCCTGGACTGACTAAACTGGGTAATTTAGCCTTCATATGGGAATGTGAAATAAAGACTTTTTACGGTGGGAAATCAGGGACTTCTAAAACCACCGTCTGTTCTTTTCTGAATTCATAACTTGGGCAAAGGCTTCATATATTTTCTCATGACATTAAGTTTAAAAAGAAATATAATCTCTATAGATGCAGAAAAAGCATAGGATAAAATTCTAAACTCATGTTATAACTTGGTGAAGAGTATACAGTACACACCTGTAAACTTCATAATTGGTGGTTAAACATTTGAAAGTGTAGCATTGGAATAGAAACATGATAAAAAAATATTTGTGAGTAATCTTAACTTTTTATTGGTAGTTTGACCGCAGCAATGCTATAATGAATGAAGAGTGTCATAAATATTTGAAAGAAGTCAGATATTATTATAAAGACAGTATGATTACCTGCCCTGAGAATATAAGAAAATTAAACTGGATCCCTGTTAGAACCAATCAGTGGGTTTGGTTGACCAAATCTAAGATTGGAATTTAATAGTAACTCTTTTCCAGCAATAAACAACATAATAACAAAAGACACAAAAGCTAAAGAAGCCTCAGTAGCCTATGGGCTGTGTCAAGGGTCTAGTGGCCGTAGACCCATTCACCCACCCTTCCTGGGGTAGGTGGGTCTTATCCTTCCTTCCTCCATTCCTCCCTCCCTTTCCTCATCCTTTTTTTCCCCTACCTCCTTATTCTCTTGCTCCCTTTTCCTTCTTTCCTTCCTTTTGATGAGAAATACCTGGATGCTCCAGATGCTGGCTTCCCCTTATTCCAGACTCACCTGCTAGGACTCTGGTTCACACCACATAACACCAAATTCTGATACTCATCTACCCCTCACCTTACTGGAGGAACAGTGTGGGAGGCACTTTGCCCCAGGGGTGCAGCCAGGCTAGGGGTGGGGATGGGCTCTGGCCCAAAGACTGGGGACAGTACAGCCCCAAATCTATTTGGGTAGTGAATTGTGCATGCCAGGCCACAGATCTGTACGCAGCTTTCCATAAATCAGTAGGACCCTGGGCAGCACTGTGGGCTTCTAGGATGGAACCCTGTAGTCCCAGTCCAACTCTGCCAAGGTCCAAGGCTGCGGCAACTGGAAGGCACAATTCCATTGCACATGTTAGGGTCAAATGTCTCTCTCAGCAGCTGAGAGATGTCTAAAATCTGTCCCAGAAGAATAGTCATCCGAATTAAGTCTTCCACAGACATTTGCTGCCTGCTTGGGTGGCTCCACTTTGCCACATGTTGTTGTACAGTTCCTGTGTAGCAAGGAAGCCTGCTCTTTAAAAGGCTGAGCCATATCTGCATTGTGCTTTGCATGATGCCTCCTTATAGTTAACCTGTTCCAAACTGCTGGCCTCCAGAAGTCAGTGGCTCATGATCACATGAGGAAAGAAGCTTTGACGATTAGTACAAGATTACTGTCTTATTTATATTCTTGGATTATTCATGGCTAGTCACTTATTTTTTTATGAAAATTAACTGTTATAGTCAAAACCATTAGAGTTTTATAAAAAATGAAAATCTTTTTGCCTTTCCAAAAAATGTAAGTGGAATCCTAGCAGGGTCAGAAGGAAGTAGGGGGTAAAATATATTTGAAAATATAATGACCAAGAAGTTTCCAAATCTTGTGAAAACTATACCGCCATAGAGCCAAGACTCCTTGGCATTCTAAGTGGAATAAAAGAAACCAATCCAAGAACTATCTTAAAATTGCTGAAGATAATTGATAGAAGATCTTAAAGGAATCTAAAATGAAAAGACACATTCTATAAAATCAAGAAAGGCTAAAACACCTCTCAGAGGTAATACGAGGCATAGCGCAATGGGGTGACATCTTTAAAGCACTGAAAGGTCAAAGGTCAATTTGGAATACTATTGCAGCAAAAATGTCTTTCACAAATAAAGATGAAATCTATTTTTTCAGTCAAACAAAAGGTAAGATAATTAGTTTTTGGCAGACCTGTGCTACAAGAAATGTTAACGTTTTTTAGATAGAAGGAAAATCACATCAGTAGAAAACTTGGATCTACATAAAGGAATGAAAAGCACCACTAGTGCTAAATATGTGAATAAGTAAAAATGCTTTGTTTCTCAGGTTTCTTTAAGGATAATTTCTTTAAAGACAATTGACCGTTGAAAGTGGACAGATGATTTATGATTCTACTAGTGGTAATGGTTGGCGAGGCAAACAACTTCAGCTTTCTGTTTTCGCAGTAGATCTTGTTATTTGTTGCAATATACAATAATGTAGATGAGTTCAGAGCTATCAGATGATTTTGTGTGGCCCCGGTAGGCACAAAGAAATAACACAGTTTAGTCCATATGTGAAATTAATACAGCAGCTTTTTAATGGTCTTTATTTTATCAAATACCGTGTTGACTATGAGCCATTTATGTTCTAGAAAAAACCCACAGTCTCAGAGTTTAGCTGAGAGTTCTTCCCATATGTTTACCTTTAGTAATAATATGTTTATGAAAACTTACAGTCAGATCATCTCTCTTTTGTAAATCAAATCCACAATCTTCCTTGTCTTTTTTTCTATTAAATATTAATTCCACTAGGTGGAGGCATTTGCTTAGTTTTGTGTCTCGTACAAAAGAGCCTAGGAATAACCAGTAAAGTAAGCAAGGAGACAAGTCGGAAAAAAAAAGGCCCATAGCCCTCCTGAGGCCTAGTGCTTTGCACTATATTAGCTTGGCATGTGCATCCCCATTACTATAGAGTTCCATGCTGTTAACCCTTGACCAACGAGGGGATTATGGGCATGACCCCCTTGTGGTTGAATATCTAGGGACAACTCTTGAGTCCCCCCAAAATTAACTACCAGTAACCTACTTTTGATCAAAAGTCCTACTGAGAACATAAATAATTGGAGAGAACATAAAACATACATAGTTTGTATGTCATATGTATTAGCACTATATTCTTACAATGAAGAAACTAGAGAAAAGACAATGAAGTAAACTAGAGAAAAGATAATTCCAATCTCATAAGGAAGAGATAATGCATTTACAGTACTGGACTGTTGCTTATCTAAACTGTAGGTTTACATCAACTCTTTGCAAGATGAATTGTCTGTCAGTACCTACGTCAATATTGTCTTATAGGATACAGAACACTGTGGATGTTATATGTATTCCTAACACCAGACATGAAAAATGAAAAGATGGTGTGCAGTCTGTAAGTGTTGATAAATTTTAACTTTTTATGATAGGTTTGTGTATTCTTTAGGGTAAATGATAAAAAGACTAGCATCCACATATATCTTATGCATTTATGACACACGTAACCTTTTCTTAATTCTTTCACTATTTCTAGGCTCCACGATTCACTTGTGAGTTTTTTTCAAATTGTTGCAAATCTCTAAAGAATTTTCCAGTATATTTATTGAAAAAAATATGTAAGTGAACTTGCACAGTTCAAACCTTTGCTGTTTGAGGGTCAACTGTATTTGCTTTTAATGTTCAGCAAAGGAAAGTAGCAAGTTTTCTAGACTAAATGTTGTCTTTCTAATAGTTTGAATTTTAAAACAGCTTCTAAGGGCTGATTAGATTATTAAACAGCCATCTTACATTTTCTCATTTAATCCCGCCATATGGTACTTGGATTCCACAGTGATGTATTAAATAAGTGTCTGTAATAATAAAATGTATCCTGTTTTCACTTTATTTCAAATATTTAATATTTAACCAAGATGATAATATAAGGAACATTATCAACATATACATATTTTTATGTAATACTTTAGTCCTTATATCAGTAACTTAATATAAAATGACACCTCTTCAGATTATGGGGAAACAGTATTCTTTTTTGAATATGCTATACAAGTGACACAAATGTGTGGGACATTTCTTAAAGTAGCTGAAATATAAAATGAGTAAAGGATGGGGGAAGATTTTTTTCAGCTTGAAGCTTTTTTGTTGTCATCTTCCTGGATTTCTACTTTTCTGTTTTTATTAGTACCAACATTATATGGAAACAATATCTTTCCAGCTAAATAGGAAATTCATCTGCTCTTTATTTTGTATTTGAAGTTTTAATGCTCTGTGTCATCAGTTCATTGACTTCAAGGAAGTAAGTTCCTGAAATGTTACACTTTATGGGAGCAACCCAATTCTCTTTTTGTGCAATTGGTTTTCTTAAAAGTCTTTCTTGTATGAGTACTATTGTCTCAGTTTTATTGTTTTAAAGATACTCTTAATTATTTACAGCTGCTCTCATAAATGGATTAAAAACAAAACAGACTTTTGTCCTCCAATCCCTTAGAGAAAATTTAGTGACTGATGTTATTTTCTTTTTTTTTCCCTTCATCGTTCATCTGTGGGAAAGGAATGACGAATATGATGTTTATGAAAGTATTGTTAGAAAGAAAATTTTTCATATCTCATACATCTCATTTAAAAAATAATTTTGATTTTTCATTTAAACAATTCTCCAGTATACATGGAATTAAATGAGATGTCTAATTCATGCACCAATCTTACAGTTTACTTTTCTCTTTAGGATGAAAGCCTGGCACGCCAGTTGGTGGAGCTAGGCTACCGAGGGACAGGAGAGGTGGTGAAAAGGGAAGATTTCGAAGCAAGGAAGGCAGCGATAGATATTGCAATGCTGGCTGAAAGAACTCAGAAAAAGTAAGTGTCTGTGTTCCAATCTAGATTTTATATCATATTGTAGAGTCTCTGGAAAAGTACAAGTTCATTGGCATTGTTGTAATTTAGAAACATTGGCTGGAGCACATAGAACTTGAAATGTCCTAAGCATCTGTTTTGCAGATCAGGAACTGGAGGAACTGTGATGTGCTTGCAAGAAGCCACATGCAGGGGCACCTGGGTGGCTCAGTGGTTAGACGTCTGGCTTCAGCTCAGAGCATAACCCCCAGAGTCCCGGGATAGAGTTCCCATCGGGCTTCCTGCAGGGAGCCTGCTTCTCCCTCTGCCCATGTCTCTGCCCCTCTCTCTGTGTCTTTCATGAATAAATAAATACAATCTCTAAAAAAAAAAAAAAAAAAAAAAGTCACATACACCTTGGAGCTATTGATCTAAGAAACATAAATACCGAAATATGGTCATGATACCAATAAAGTCTTATTAAAAAATAACTCAGTGTTGTTGGCTTTATGTATTTATGTACTAAAAACACAAGTACCTTTTGCCCTAGAATTCTTTGTCCTTTTGAGATCTATAAATCTTTGACCTCATTTGTGTTCTTATGTTTTTGTAAACATTGATTCATTCAACTTTATTAATGGTCACTGGCTTTTGTTAATATGACTAAGATATGGTTTACATGAAATAGGAATCTAATTGAATATATTAATTAAACATATCATAAACATGTATATTAAACATGGTATATTAAACATATTATAAAAGAAATGTATACATAAAGTGAACTGTATCAACTAATAAGCCAGTATGAAAGATGTGACAAAGCAATTACCTATTTACTTTTTAAAAATGAATGCTGAAGTTGTACGTGTTGGAGAGGACAATTACTTAGAAATTGTTATATTATTCTTAGATATAATTTAAAATCTACCCTGTTATTATGGGTAGAAATCTCCCATGTATTTATCATAAGAAATAACGTTTGATAGTGGGATGTGAATTGGTTCCAGGAGTGTGCAATTTTAATTGATTGTTCTAGTGGTTATTGTGCTGCATTACCATGGAATTCTGGAATTTAATATACTGACATTTGGTAATATATCAGTTATCTGATGCTGCCATAACACATTACTACAAAGTCAGTGACTTAAAACAACATGAGTGTATTTATTCATAGACCTTTGGGTCATAAGTCAAGAGGACAGTGGGTCAGCTGGGTCCTTTGCTCAGTACATCACAATGTCGAAATCCTGGAGTTGGCTGGGCTGAATCATGGTCTGGAGGCTCTAAGGATGAATCTGCTTCCACACTGATTCAAGTTGGCGGCCAAATTCAGTTCCTTATGATTGTGGAACTGAGGTCCCCATTTCCTTGTCTGCTGTTATTTTGGGAGCTGGGCTGCAAGGTCCTACAGACTGCCCACATTCGTCCTCTTGCTTTCCATGTGGTCCTCTTACGGCAAGAGGAGGTTGCAATTGTCTTACCCTTCAAATCTCTCTGACATCTCCTTCTGTAACATCTTTCCTAATTCCAAATGGAGAAACATCTCTCCTTATAAGGGCTCATGTGGTCACCCTGAGTCCATCTAGATTATCCTGATAATCTCCTTATTTTAGGGTCTATAACCTTCTTTACATCTGCAGGGTTCTTTTTTCCATGTAATATAACATGTTCTTAGGTTCCAGGAATTAGGGCATCAGTATCCTTGGGGTGGGCATTCTGCTTACTGCAGGTAATTTATAAAAAAGTTTGATGATTTATTCAACATAGTTACACATAACTTCTGTTCTTAAAAAATTGAAATGATGCAAAGTATATATATATATACAGTGTGGCCAGGGGAGTCTTTCCATATCAGTAAATGTTTCTCAGGAGCAGAAGCGGAGAGATTTTTGTAAGATTTTACAGGGAATTAATGTATATTCATATTTTATTAGAGATTTTTCCTATTTCATATTAAGAGAAGTTGGACATGTTTAAAGTATAAGTGCACATGTCCACTTAGTGTTTGAGGATCAAAGTGGATATTTATTCTATGCAATAGTCTCTTTAACTGGCCAGAGCTGGAAGTCTTCAGTCTACTTAAGTACCAATCATGGGAGGCTAATCTCCACCCAGAGCTGCTAGAATTGGAAGGCTCTTTAATCTGCAGATCTTCTGGCTGCCTCTGTAATGGAATGGGCCCCATATGTTGCCTCTGGCCCCTTGTGGGAGTCACCTTGCTCCTTCCCTCCCAGGTCTATTGTAGTGTTATTGACAGCATCTATTGCAGTGTTATTGACAGTAGGGCCAGCAGAGGAGAGGGTAACCTAGAGCCAAATATGTCTTGGGCCTATACTTGCAGGAGAATTGCTTTGAAAATATGCTTGAATATCTGCCTGTCTGCCAATTGGTACCAACTTGGAAACACTTGATTCTGCCATCAGATTATATTATATTAACTTCTCTAATGTGTGCAGGTGAGCAGTCCTGATATGGTGATCATAGAGCACTCATCTCAAGAAGTGCTGGTACCTAAGAGTATGTTATTTACTTAGTTTCAGAGGGTAGGGAAGTCTGGAGAGAAGCAAGTTAAAGGAATTGGAAGGGAGCTTTGTGATGAAGGAGTATTTTGATAAGTATCCCTCCAAAAGAAGGCAGAAGGTGAAAAAACATTATTTTGGGCTTTTAGTTTAGTCATCCACTTAACAAATATTCATATACACCTCTATTGCATTAGGCACTGTGCTAAATGTGGGGTATATTATAGAACATAAGATAGTCCCTGCCCTCAAGAAATTGAGGACTAGGTGGATAAAAGGCAGTTATATTGATGGTGTAAATATAAAATAGAAGATAGTTGGGCAGTTCTTCAAAAAGTTAAGCACAGCATTCCCATATGACCCAGCAATTCCATTCCTAGACATATATCCAAGAGAATTGAAAACATAGGCCCGCTTAATAACTTGTTCACCAGTGTTCATAGCAGCATTATTCATAGTAACTATAAAATGGAAATAATCCAAATGTCCATCACCTGATGATTGGGTAAAGAAATGTGGCATGTAGGCACAATGGAATATTATTCAGCCATTAAAAAGGAGACAAGTACATATTGTTAACATACTTTGATATAGGTGAACCTTCAAAGCGTTAGGCTAAGTGAAAGAAGCTAGACAAAAGGACTAAATGTTGAATAGTTTCATTTATATAAAATGTTTAAAATAGGTAAATGCATAGAGACAGAACGTGGATTTGTGGTTGCCAGGGGCTGGAAGGAAGGGTGAATGGAGAATGACTGCTAATAGGTATTGGGTTTCTTTGTGGGGTGTTAAAATGTTCCAAACTTAAATATTGGAGATGATTGCACAACTTTGTAAATATACTAGGAACATTGAATTTTACACCTTAGAAGTTTGAATTTTATGGCATGTGAGTTATAGCTCAATAAAAACAATTATAATGGAAAATAATGCATTCTGTCATAGATGCTGTGGTGATACTCTGAAGCGGTATTAAGTCTGGATCTGGGGGATGAGGACGCCTGAGTGGCTCAGTGGGTTAAGCAGCTGCCTTCAGCTCAGGTCATGATCCCAGAGTCCTAAGAGGGAGCCCTGTGTTAGGCTCCCTGCTCCGTGGGGAGCCTCTCCATCTGCCCCTCCTCCCCACTCATTCTCTCTCACTCTCAAATAAATAAATAAAATCTTTAAGAAAACTAAAAAAAATGGGGGGATGTGAAGAATGGGAAAGTTTTTCTTAAGGAATGGCTGCTAACATCATGTCTCACCTATCTTGCACTGAGGTTTATGGCAGCTGGTATAGTAGCCACAAGGCAGAGGCTTTAAATCTTGGGAAGAAGGAATGTGTATAGTTTAGTTGGTGAACTTTTTATCAAGACAGAATGTTCTCTCCAGGGTCTGGCCAAGGTGTATTGATGAGGCATCCCCATAAGTTCCAGAGAAATTTCTTTTTTTTTTTTTTTATAAATTAATTTTTATTGGTGTTCAATTTACCAACATACAGAATAACACCCAGTGCTCATCCCGTCAAGTGTCCCCCTCCGTGCCCGTCACCCATTCACCCCCACCCCCCGCCCTCCTCCCCTTCCACCACCCCTAGTTCATTTCCCAGAGTTAGAAGTCTTTATGTTCTGTGTCCCTTTCTGATATTTCTCACACATTTCTTCTCCCTTCCCTTATATTCCCCTTCACTATTATTCATATTCCCCAAATGAGTGAGAACATACACTGTTTGTCCTTCTCCGATTGACTTACTTCACTCAGCATAATACCCTCCAGTTCCATCCACGTTGAAGCAAATGGTGGGTATTTGTCGTTTCTAATGGCTGAGTAATATTCCATTGTATACATAAACCACATCTTCTTTATCCATTCATCTTTCGATGGGCACCGAGGCTCCTTCCACAGTTTGGCTATTGTGGACATGGCTGCTAGAAACATCGGGGTGCAGGTGCCCCGGCGTTTCATTGCATCTGAATCTTCGGGGTAAATCCCTAACAGTGCAATTGCTGGGTCGTAGGGCAGGTCTATTTTTAATTCTTTGAGGAACCTCCACACAGTTTTCCAGAGTGGCTGCACCAGTTCACATTCCCACCAACAGTGTAAGAGGGTTCCCTTTTCTCCACATCCTCTCCAACATTTGTTGTTTCCTGCCTTATTAATTTTCCCCATTCTCACTGGTGTGAGGTGGTATCTCATTGTGGTTTTGATTTGTATTTCCCTGATGGCAAGTGATGCAGAGCATTTTCTCATGTGCATGTTGGCCATGTCTATGTCTTCCTCTGTGAGATTTCTCTTCATGTCTTTTGCCCATTTCATGATTGGATTGTTTGTTTCTTTGGTGTTGAGTTTAAGAAGTTCTTTATAGATTTTGGAAACTAGCCCTTTATCTGATATGTTATTTGCAAATATCTTCTCCCATTCTGTAGGTTGTCTTTGAGTTTTGTTGACTGTATCCTTTGCTGTGCAAAAGCTTCTTATCTTGATGAAGTCCCAATAGTTCATTTTTGCTTTTGTTTCTTTTGT